AAAAACAGTGTGCCTACAGCGTAATAGCAAAGCCAGTACGTACTGACACTAAGACATGCATGTACAATATATAACACAAGTCTATTGTGATTACAGTCTGGAATAGATAAAATCAAAAAGCATTGGTTTTAATGGTTTTATACAAATCTTTTATTATTATTTATTGGATAAAGAGACAGCAGGTAGGCTTGTTCCTGCATGTGTCTACTCAAATGTATAACAGATAAGTAAAAAATGCAATAACTGGAGATGTATCAATACCCATAAATTACAATTCTGTATGACAATGATTTCAGAATCACAATTTGGTACAACAGGAAAAAAACAACAAATGCCAAATTTTAGTTTTAGAATTTTTTATACAGATTTTAAACAGACAAAAAGCCTCCAAAACAGAGATGGAGACACAACCCTTGCCGGTTGGGAGGCTAGCAGGTGTATATTATGTAGGGGTGCAACGATCCAGAAAATACACGATTCGGTTCGGTTCGATACTTCAGTCTCACGGTTCGATATTTTTCAATACAAAAAGAGAAATTTCCATGCCCCTTTTAACTTGTAATTTATTTAAAATAATTATGAACATTTGTTTAACCTCAAAAGTACAGTTTTTAAATTAAATGTTGCAGTGGATCTGCGTTCAAAAATGCAGCCTAGGTGGAGTAGTCGAACACAGATCCACTGATCCMTCAACACAGAGCATCTTCAGAAGACAAGTTGATAAAGTAAATTTTAAAAATCTGTATTGTTCCATACAAGTGTGTATTGAACCTAAAGCACTGTTCAATATGGTTCGATACGGGTACATGTATTGTTGCACTCCTAATATTATGATGGGATTTCTCATTGGTAATAGAGGTGTGCCAAAAAAATCAATCCACATAAGAATCTAAATTCTCATTTACTACGATTCAAAATCGATTTAAAGTTTCCCAAAATTGATTCTATAAAAAATAAAACAAATCCGCTGAAGTCTCCCCTGAAGTTGCGGTGGGCTCGCGTCATTACAAAATTACGTGAGACTTCATCACGAAGCAAGTTCTACATACGCATGCGTGGAAAGTTTCAAAACAAATGGAGGAAAGAGAGATTCAACCGGTCCCGTCTTCATTTGAAGCAAAAATATGGATACATTTTGGTTTACATTTTCCCCAAATGCCGGGGAAGACTGAGCTTGACATGAACTTCATAGTGTGCAAGGTTTGCAAAATGAAGATCAAATACTTCGGGAACACAACAAATGTGTGGGCTCACATAACCAGGCATCACCCGGAGTTAAAGGGTTCGGAGCAGAGTCAGCCACCAGCAGCAGACCAACGCACACTGCAGTCCTTTACCAAACTGTCCGCCAATTCGGAGCGGGCAAAAAAAAAAAAACAGGTCTATGGCCTGCTTCATCACCATAGACTTACAGCCTTACAGTGTGGTGGAGAACGAGGGGTTTATATACATGCTGCAGACAGCAGAGCAGTGGTATGCCATAACATCCTGTAAGTTTTTCACTGAAACAGCTGTGTCACAGCTTTACGAAGAAAGTTGCAGGAGACACTTTCATGAAAAATGTAGAGGCAGCTACTTTACTGGTGCTATTTTTCAGATAAAAAAAATTATTTTCACTTGTTAATTCTTAATGTGAGGATTTCACAGTCACATCCCTGATTGGTTCTGGCAGCTAACAGGCAGCAGCTGGTGGCAATCTCCCTGATGAGCCACTGGGCTTTATAAGGCTTCCTCTGAGGACACAACAACGCTGGAACATATCATACACTTGGGTATGGTTCTGAGCCACCTCTAGAGTTCATTTCTCTGAGTTTATCTAATGTGTGTTTCTCTTGTGATCTTCTCCAGTTGGACCCCTTGTGGATTTTACCCCTCGTGGATTTTTACAGTGTGCTCCTCTGTTCATACGCCTGCCTGCCTGTTT